GTGATGACAGGACCGTCTCTAAAACTCCTCCGAACGGAGGGGGTCGGGTTGCAAACTGCAACGTGTAACCTTTGCATAACACCCTGGCCATCCATCTGTCTGGCGAGCATGTTTTTAGCCACTCCGCGTAACGTTCGTGGAGTGGACGTGCGTTTAAGTGATGCGTCATGTTTTGTATGGATGTCATCCAGTCCGCCGCCTTGACCGCCGTCATGTGTCGCGGGAATGTTTTCCACGTGACCCAAGGCGAGGCTTCCTCGAAAGGGCTCTGAACGTGCCCGTGTGCTGCGTTCGGACCGCGGACCAACCTTCATGTCCAGGTGGGCCGGTGTGTGCTGAGGCGAAGGGTGGCAGCTGATGATGCCGTGGGGCCACGCTTCGACGTCGCTGTGCGAACGCTGAGAGGCGGAGAGCGCAACTTCATCTACGCCGTGCTGTTGGAGTGAAGGCTGCGAGCCCCGCGGGAGCACACGTTTTCTCTGGTGGGACGCGCGCCGCTCTCGCTGGAGGCGAGACTCGTCACTGGGTTCGTTCAGCTGTCTCACGCTTATGCTGCCGTGAGCGGCCGAGCGCTGAGACGCGGTGGGTGAAGGCTGCCCCCGTCGCGGCCGCACGTGTTTGCTTCGGTGAGGCGTGTGTCGCTCTTGCTGAGAATGAGGACCTTCACCGGACCCGGCCTGCGGTCCCACATTTATGCCGATGTGAGCTGGTGAGCGCCGGGGAGCTGTGTGTGCACCATCATCAACGCAGCGCCGTTTGGATGAAGGCTGTTTGCGTCGCACGATTGCACGTTTGACACCGCTTGGGTGAGGATCGTGCAACTCGGGTTGACAACGAGTTATTTCGCTTACCATTGTGTCGTGTGAGCGTCTCGTCATGTCTTGGAGCGACGGTGAGTTTAAAAATCCTTTATTTAAGGACACCGGCTCGTTATGTGTGGAGGGTGTGTGCGCAGCCGCTGTGAGTTCATCCGAGCTTACAGACTGGCTAAAAACAGACACTTTGATCATTGAATGATGATTTATTTCAACTTTCGTGTCACTTTTACACACACCCTCCGCAGACCGTCATTTTTTAAATCTTCTCCCCCGTGAGCTCTGCGATTTGTTGGCCCAGGGCGCCGTCTACAGGCGATCTCTGGGGAAATGCTGAACTGCTGGTTGCCGGGATGAAAAGGGCTGATCTCTGACGGGCGGGGCTGGTGGTGGAGCTGAGCGAGACGACAACGCCGCGGCCGTGGAATGTTGTTGATTCTGCCTCTGCTCACGACGTTCTCTCCAGCGGGCCGGGATGAGCTGCGCAGCTTGATGAGGTGGCGCACAGTCTCCGACACCTCCTCCGACTGCTTGGAGTTCGCCAGCATGGCTTTGAAGCTGCTCCCGAACAGCGCGTCCGCCGTGATGGGGCCATCCATCAGGTCTCTGTGCAGTTTCTCCGGCAGCGAGGGGGAGTGACGAAGCCAGATGGATCGCTGAATCATCGTCATCCACGCTGCAATCCTGGACAGGCAAACTGCAGAAGAGGCACACATGTTGAGGATGGCGTCGGCTGCCTTACAGAGGGAGCGCTTGGTCTCCTCAGGCAGATCTGCAGCCTCCAGCCTCTTGGACATGCTGTATGCTAGCAGTGCCACGTTGTTGTTAGCTGCAGCTGCCTGAAAAGCACATTGATGAGCTCGATTGGAGAGCGTGGTCACCGTCTGGTCGTGTTTCCCAGGAGGGACGGGACGCTGCTCCAACGTGGACAGCTTCGCTCCGAAAGCTTCCGCAAGGCTTGGCTCAAGGGGGTGTACCGAGGGAAAGCCCCGCTCGGTGAACCCCTCCACTCTGGTGATGGGAGCGAAAGTGGAGACAGGTGCTCTCAGCTTACCAGGACCGGCTCGTTCCAATACGACGTCACCGCTGGAAAACAAGGCCAGATGGGATCAGGACGGCGAGCCAGCGTGGAGCCAAACCTTCCCGCAAGATCATCCGATCTGGGCGGGGCGGGGGGTGGGGGCGTTGGGTAAGGGAATGGAAAGTCCCTTCATGTCAGCAGCTTCTCGGATAATGTCGGGCAACTCCAAAAGGAGTGCGCCGACGGCAGAGAGCGATGGGGCCGTTGAGGCGGGAAAGCCCGGAGGGGTCGAGCATCTGCTCGGCCCCCCTTGTTCCAACACTGCGCTCCCCGGGAGGGAGCGAGTATCGGGGCTGCTGCTAACGTCACCAGTCCCAGAGAAACCATTCGATTCACTCCGAGAGCCGGTGTCGAAGAAGTCAATCGCGTCGTCCAGCGAACAGTCTCCCGCCACAGACAGGCAGTCCTCGACGTTAGCCTTAAACAAGGCTGCTCTCCTCTGCCTTTCTTCCGGTAGAAGATCGTCACAGAGGCGGCAGGAGGAAGCGCGGGCGACGTGGCGGGGACCCAGGCATCCCTCTCAGGTGTCGTGCCGGTCAAAGCTAAGCAAGTAACCGGTCTTGCAGGATGGACACAAGCGGAGGGTGTTGGAGCTGGACATCTTGTTGAAGGTCAGTGTTGTTAGCTTGCTGAAGAAAAATGGGAGCCGATAACCTGCTCTTAACGTAACTTATACGAACCGGGTGGGGCCCACACAGCAGGTGGGCATGGACTAAATTTTTTCAGTGTGATGCTTCGCATAACGGGATAAACCCATCAGCGACAGCCTAAAAGGGCGAAGCCTATACAAAATAGAACACTAGATAGAGCATTGACCGCTATCGCCTTTTGGGGCTGACGAGCAGTAGAGCCGCCATCTTGGAACGGTCGACCGCTCCACTCAGTGTATTCAGTTTGTCAGGAGCAATGAAGTATTTGCGCGTTTAATCAGTCAAACTAAATACTAAACTCATTCTCACGATTTTCTGCTCTGTAAATCTCAGGCGTACAGCCATTAAAGCTGAACACATGGTTCAGTGTATTTAAATATTCTTGGTGGGGTTAACATTAACACTAATAAAATATTCTTATGACAAGTTTGCAAAACTCACAGTCACTGATACATTTTTATTAAGATATATATATATATATATATATATATACATCAT